TGCCATTCTAAATAGGCTACTCCCCCACTTCATCTCCCTCAGCAAGTTAAAACAAGCTTATGTAAGATCAGGTTACTTGGAAGGAGGAGCTCTTTAGTCCTTGATGTCCTTGGTCAACATTGCTTTCCCTGAGACATCCAGGGTCCCATCAACTCTTTGGCTACTTGTCACCACAGGTCTGTGCTGTCGCTAGCTGCACGACTGCTTCATTTTCTACAGCTCTTCTGCAATTCTTCTGGGTCTGTCGAGGATACTCAGAAGTGTTTCTGTGGCTCCTGCTCCATGCTAGAGGAAGAGAAACTCTCTATGCCAGCCTAAGGCCCTATCAGCCGCCTGTTCCCCCTCTACTCGGGCAGCTGAGCCTGACCAATCCTGCCCTCTCTTCCCATAATCCTACCTGGCATCTTGCCAGGGCTTCTTGCCCTTCTCCTTGGGGTCGGCACGAATTGCTTTCCCTCCAACTCCTCCTTCTTCAGTCCCAAAACTTGCTCTTCTATGCTAGAAGACATAGAAACCTCAGATGTTCCCTCTCAGATCTCTTGTTTGTGTCCTCGGGTTCTTCCGTATGGCTAAAGTGCCTAAGCTTTCCTAACTCTAAAGTCAGGATAAGACTTTCTGTTTCTCTTCTGCTGTTCTGTTTCATTCCAGAAACAATTTATACAGCCTAGCTATGGAATAGAAATGGCAAAAAATAGTCGGGGGGATTGATAAAGGAAATCCTAAGAAGAAACAGATATATACCTTAAAATGCAAAGTTCTGTATGGAAGGTGTGTCAAACATGTATTTTTGCTTCTGCAGTGTGTGTGTGGGGGGGGGTAGTACATTGACACATACCTGTATGGTAATTAACAACATTGAAAATCTGACATTTGAAACCATTTTTCACTGAGTCTATTTCAGGTTCTAAATTCACTCTCTTTTAATTGGAGTTCATAGTAGATGATAGAGAAAAAGATTTAAACTAATATGCTGGAATGTATACGTATAAATGAGTGTTTTCTCAGTTACCTCAGGCTACTATACATTTATTCCACTAATATTTCTATGACTCTAAACGTTTCCAGATTTTTTGAAACTCTCTTAAGGTTATGAAGTTGAAAATGTTAGTAGTAAATTATGAGTAAAGTTTCTCCATTGCTGTGCTTCTCACCCCACTTAACAAGGTGGAACTCAGCTTCATCCATTTTCCTTCAGAATCTTTTTTTTTTTTTTAAAGATTTTATATATTTATTTGAGGAAGGGAGGGGCAGTGAGAGCATGGAAGAGAGAGAGGGTGAAGCAGACTCCCCACCAAGCAGGGAGCCCAGTGTGGGGTCAGACCCTGAGATCATGACCTGAGCCAAAGCCAAACACTTAATTGACTGAGCCATCCAGGCACCCCAAGAATCATTCTTAACTTATGATCAGTTATGACCTGACTTCTAGAAGTAGTAGACAAAGATTTTTTTTTTCCCTCTTAGAGCTATTTAAATGACATTCTGAAAAACTCTAAGATCATTTTATGAAGAAAAGCTCAAAATTTTTTTTGAATGACAGCATCACTGAAATAAATGTACAATTGCAAAAGTAGTGACTTTGAACCAGCTGCTCTTATCTGGATGAATAAATGTTGGTCGTTTGGTTTAAGTTAGGGATTCTCAACTAGGGATTGGCAGTTGGTCAATTTCTCGAAATTTTTTGGTTGTCTCAACTTGGGAGTTCTGGCATCTAGTGGGTGGAGGCCAGGGTCAGTGCTAAGCATTCTACAGTGCTTAGGACAGCTTCCCACACCTAGCAATTGTCTGTCCCCAAATGTCAGTTCAACCAAGGTTGGGAAATCTAGGTTTAAACAAATAAGTTATTATTTTATAGTCATTCCTCACATTTTAATGTGCTTAAAAGTTTCTGATCCCCTTCCCAGCCTCAGTCTAACTAAACCATTGGGATGGAGCAAACTCAAGCACCCAAACCTTCTGTTCACACTTAGACTCACAACCTCTTTGAGGCTTTCTTTCCACTTATGTACAGAGGATGGGGAAGGAAGGGGAAACTGGATCAGGGAGGAAACAGGCAGGGCGGGGAATACACAGGAAACCTGCAGATTAATATCTAGGTGGAGGTTTCCCTAGCAGTCTTTGATTTCTTCCTAAGATTTTTACTTCTTATCTCAGCATTTTTTCTTCTCGAGACTCCATGTGAACTCTGGTTTTCCAACATCATTACTCAGAGAGAGGCTGTCTGACACTTTTCACCTGAAGACCTTTTACCACCGTGTAGCCTGAGGTCCCAATGCCCAGTTCTGACGCACTACTGAACCCACCCCCGCGCGCCCCCCCCACCCCCGCCCATCCTCTTCTAATGAGTCAGGGTTGAGTGTGTTTTCCTTTTGCTTCCTAAGCTGGCTCTGCTCTTCTCCTTTGTAACACTGTCTGCATTTGAAGGCGCGTTTCCCTTATCAGTTCTCCAATGAGCAATTATGATTTCTATGAAATAGCTTGATTTGCCCTGCCCTTCTCTCCTTCCTTGCTTTGTACAGGGGTGAAGTTTCAAACCACCACCTCTTTATGCGGGCAGACTTGGCTTACCCCAGAAAGGTCAGCTGTTTTGTTCTTACCCTGCTATCCTCATTTCCACCATAGACCTCCATCCCTATGCTGGTACCTTCCTGTAGCTCCTTTTGTGTCCCTCAGCAGGGAGGGACTCATGATCTCAGGGTCCTGGGATCGAGCCCCGCATCAGGCTCTCTGCTCAGCGGGGAGCCTGCTTCTTTCTCTCTCTCTCTCTCTCTCTCTCGCCTGCCTCTCTGCCTACTTGTGATCTGTCAAATAAATAAATAAAATCTTAAAAAAAAAATATGCGTTTAGGGCGCCTGGGTGGCTCAGTTGGTTGAGCGACTGCCTTCAGCTCAGGTCATGATCCCGGAGTCCAGGGATCGAGTCCGGCATCGGGCTCCCGGCTCCACAGGGAGTCTGCTTCTCCCTCTGACCTTCTTGCCTCTCATGCTCTCTCTCACTGTCTCTCTCTCAAATAAATAAATAAAATCTTAAAAAAAAATGCGTTTGTACTTTCTCCTACCAAATTGGCATTACCAAGGGTTATTGTACTCCCACCAGCAATGTATGAGTTTACCATAGTCTTCTCAACATGTTTTTGGATTTGCGCCAATCAGACTGATAAAAATGTTTGGATTTTAGCCCATCCACTGTAATAAAATAGTGTAAATTTCTACTATGATTAAAGGTAAACAACTTTTCATACGTTTAAGAGCTATTTGTATTTCCTTTTCTATGAGATTTGCCCATGTTTTTCTTGTCTTATAGGTCTTTTTTTAAAAAATCAATTTCTTAGAACTCTTTATATATTAAGGAGAGTAGCATTTGTCTGTGGTGTGAACTGAACATATTTTTTCCTGTTTGTCATTTTTTACTTTTTAATTTTTTCCTCTTGATTTTCAGGTGGTTACATTTGTTAGTCTTCTCTTATGTCTTTTGTATTTTAAGTCAAAGTTAGAAAGTCCTTTCCCACTCCAAGACTAGAAAAGTGTTCTCTCTGTTGTCATCTAGTACTTTCATGATTCTGTTTTTCTTTTTCTTTTTCTTTCAGTTTTTCTTATTTAAATCTTCGATCTACTTGGAGTTTATCTTGGTTTATAGTATAATGTTTGGATCCAACTTTTACCCCTAGATGGCTGTCTCATTGTATCACACCATTTTTTGAAAAACTCCTGGTAATTCAATGTCCACTGGTTTGAGATGCCACCTTTATCATATACTATATGTCTTAAAAAGAAATATTTTGTGTTCCAAATATAAATGTATGTATGTGTATATGTGTATGTGTGTATGTGTGTGTGTGTGTGTGTGTATATATATATATATATGTATATGTATATATATGCTTATATTATAAAATGGCTTTTAGAATGCTAGAAGAAAGTTTGAATTTTCCTGTTTCAGGTCTAAAGAATTTCTTTTTAATTGAGATAAAACGTACATGATGTAAAATTTACCGTTTTAACCATTTTTAAGTGTGAAGTTCCAGGACATTAAGTATATTTACATTGTTGTATATATACCATCCATCTCCAGAGCTATTTGATCTTCCCACTCTATGACTTTGAATCAAATACACTTCATTCTATGGCACACCATACATTTTTAAGATGTATGCTGATTTCAGAGGTGTTCATATGTGGGAGAGTGTACATCTGAGAATTTACAAAATATAGTTCCTAACTCTATCTGGTGTATTTCTGGATGTTTTGCTGTATCCCACTGGTTTGCTTCTTCGTGTGTTGGTGTCACATTGTTTTAATTGTTGAAGATTTAGATTTTTATATATAAAAAATCTAAATATATAATAGGGCTTTTATATATTTTAATATATAATAGGGCTAGTTTCCTTTCACTAGTTTTTTTTCTGTCGTTCTTCCCAAGACTTCTTTTTACAACTATTCTTATGTATCTGTCCAGATAAACGAGGCAGCTTTTCCTTGGCTGTTGTAGATCTTCCTTCCTTCCTTCTTTCTACCTATAGTCCACTTAAATTGTAAAGACTTAGCATACAGAAGACCTTACTATGCCTGGAGATCAGCTGCAAGTCCTAGTTCAGAGTAGCTTCTTGGAATGTTTGTATATCTGCTTGATTTTCTTCTATTCGGTTTTTATTTCAAGAATTGCCATGGAAGGTAGTCTTTTCCTGATCTGCACCGTTGCTGTAAAAGGGAGATGCACTTATGAACGTTCTTAGAATCATTCATTCCTTTTTTTATCTTGTACACAGAATGTTAGCCTTTTTTAGCAAAGTAAGCATTGTTCTTATAATGATGAAAAATCTTAAATGTTTGCCACTGTATCAGGGTTTAATGTGGTTCTCTAATGCATTTACCCTCCGTACAAGTTTGTTGTTTTGCCAAGTATTCCTATTAAATATTTAACATTTATCATATTGTTTTATTAGAACTTGGCTTTATTTGCATTTATAGATCATAAACTCATTTATTTTTTTTCTTGTACTGAAGAACCCATTGTAAGAGCCAGTAAATCCTGTGGAAAATGACCTTCAGTGATCTTACGTCAAGGACCGTGCGTCTGTATGATAGTTGGCTCAAAGATGCTGGTAAGTAACCAAACTTCGTACCTAAGGCGCATCTTTTCTTTTTATGTTAGATTCCAGTATTTAATAGGATCTCTCTGAAACAGAATGAGAGACTGCAACTTAACCTCATAACACCTCAAATATTAATTTTTATTACTAGTTAACAAAGAGGAAGTATCAAAGTTCTCATTACAAATATGCACAAAGATAGAGCTACACCAGTGTTTATTATGATGTTTATAATAATGAAAATATTATTGTAAACATCCAGCTTTAATATCCAGTGAAGGAAATTGGTTAATAGATGATGGTACATTCCAATTCAGCAGTCATTAAAAGTGATTTTTGGAGGCACAGTGCACTTAGGCTTGCTTCTGCCCTCTTGCTTCTAAGGAAATAGCAATTAATGGCAACAATACTGGTTCTTGAATGGGAGGGCCTGCACCCTCAGGGCTGTATCAGAAAGGGCAGGGACTGTTTCATAGGCTCATCCATAAGTAATTCTGAAATGTCTGCCATCTTGCTGTGCCCATTAAAAAAAAAAAAAAATCAATGTTCTAGGAGAACATTTAATGCCAAGTCAAGTTGAAATATGTTAAATGAAGAACGGGTTATAAAACACCACATACATTACTTTTGTGAGAGCCGTTGTCTCTATGTGATTGGATTATGGGTAATTTCTATTTACTTATCTATGTCTTTTTTTAAATACCACTCAGATGTGTGTTGCTTTTACAACCATCACAGAACATTTTAAAACTGTAACAAAGGTAGGGCTCCTGCGTGGCTCAGTCGGTTAAGCGTCCAGCTCTTCATTTTGGCTTAGCTCATGATTTCAGGTTTGTGAGATTGAGCCCCTCACTGGTGTCTGTGCTGGGCTCCCCACAGAGCCAGCTTAAGATTCTCCCTCTCTTGGGCGCCTGGGTGGCTCAGTGGGTTAAAGCCTCTGCCTTCAGCTCAGGTCATGATCTCAGGGTCCTGGGATTGAGCCCCGCATCGGGCTCTCTGCAGGGAGCCTGCTTCCTCCTCTCTCTCTCTCTCTCTCTCTCTGCCTGACTCTCTGCCTACTTGTGATCTTGGTCTGTCAAATAAATAAAATAAAATTATTTAAAAAAAAACAACAACAACAACAAAAAGAGATTCTCCCTCTCCTTTTCCCCCTGTCCCTCCCCTTATCTGTATATATATGACAAAGGTAAAACGATTTTTAAATAAACAAGGAATCAGAGTATTGTAGAGCTGAGGCAGACCTCATCAAAAGTGGTATCATCAAAGCTAACTCATTTTAGAATTAAAGACACTGAGGTCCAGAGATGTGACCTTGTTGAGAATGTGGCAAGTTGTTGGCAGGAAAGACGAGAACCTGTGTTTCCTGGTTTTGATTAGATTTCTGGTATTTCACATGTGAATTATTTGACACATATTCACCACTTCGGCCTAGCTCTTCCTATCAACCAGAAATCACATGTTCTCCAAATTCAGGAAGAAAAAGTGCTGCCTCTTGACATTGAGCACAACTGGAATTATTTTCCAATTTAGGCAGATTTCAGCAAAGATGCACTCTGTTGTGGTTGCCATCTTTCTAAGGAGTCTGCTAAAGACCAATTTTATTTCACTAAAAAAGGTCTCAACATATTTGCCCTGGAAGAGTACCAAGGGTTTTTTCAGTATCCCATAAATAGTGAAGCTTCAATCTGGTTAGGGAAATGGAGAATGACTGTTTCTGTGTTTCTTCCTTTTTTTCTTAGTTTTTTAACTTATGTAATGATTCTGAGAACATGTAGATTTCTCTAGATGTCCCCCTTCTTTCATAAGGTTTACAGTAGTTCTCATAAATTCAGTATTTAATTTAAATATTATTTGTCTTGTTTTAATGGCTTTCACCTTTTTTGTATTTTAAAAATAGTAATATTTTAACTACTTTTCAAAGTAGAGGTATGCCTTGCTACCTGAAATGTCATGATTTGAACTTGGAAGCCAAGTAGATTTGGGTGCATTTTTGAAATGGACCTGTTTGGAAGCACAAGTCTCTTGCTCTTTACTATACCAAATATGGTAGCTCAAGAGAGTCAGATAATCGGTATCCTAACTCAGGAGCCAAACTGATTTAGATGATGACTAATATCCGTATAGAGCTGAAAGTATAAAATGTTTTTAAATGAATGACTTCTGAATTCCATTTCCACTATTATCCATGGGATGACTCTCTGATTTTATTAGGAATACTTTCATTGAAAATCTGAGCAATCTTAGGTCAGAAAAGGGAATAATAAAGGGTTGGAGGTGGTTAGGGAGAAACAAAGGGAGCCCCTGAAAAATCATTGCAGACAGTACAGGGAAAGTGAGAGAGAGGGGCAGGCAGTGCTACATCTATGGTTATGCTAATCTGAAGTCATGAGAGAGGGGAGGCGATATGGGAATGTATGATGAAAAGACCTAGATTTAAGTTCTGCCATTTCCGTGGACTGGCTAGGTGGTCTTGAACAAATTATTGTCTGTGTTAAATAGACATTTCTTTTTCAGCAAAACAGAAGTGAGGATGGTACCTATGAGCTACCAGACAATGTGCATAAAAGTGCTCTATGACTTAGGAAGTATCTAAACACAGATGGTGGTGGTTGTTACAGATGAGGGAAAGAGTACTGTCATGTAAAAATATTTTTAATATAGCATATGCTTTTTATGTCTATTCATATATATAATTTTAAAATAAAATGTCTATTTAAAAATTTTTTAATTTTAATTAAGATTTTTATTTAAAAATTTAAATAAAATTTATTAAAATTTTATTAGATTTAAATTTAAATTTTTGTAATTAAAAAATTTTTAAATGTTCATATATATATATAAATGTCTATTCATATATATATATATATGTAATTTTTTAAAAATCAGGGCCTAGAGGGTTAAAATGCTTTGTATTAGATTTATAAGTTTGTGAGAACACTATCAGGTATAACAGGAGGGTATTTTGCTTCTGCTTAGTGTGGTATTGATCTCACAGAGCCATTAGAAATCACTCCTGGCCACCTTAGTCCAGTTTTACTTAGCTTACCCTGGGAAGGACTGAACCCATGATCAAGGGCCAAGATTTTCAAGTGTATTCTTGGCTTTGGCCCTATTCTTGAGTGGCATTCAGGAAACCTGTTATTCATTGGTTTCCTGATTGTTAGAGAAGTAGTGGGCATGCATAATTATTTCATGTGGAAAATTCCTTAGCTACCCAAATTTAAATATAGTTAATTAATACCTAAGCTATAAGAGGATTTATTATGATTCCCAGATATGAGATGTCAAATTCTGAAGTCATGCTCTAGTAACATTTTGGACTGTAGAGAAATGGAAACTTGTTAATGTTTCAAAAGCAACTTTCCTTATGTTTGGTTAGTAATGATGGCTTTTCAAACCTAGTTATGATTTTTTTACAAGAAGATGGAGTGTGAGTTGAGTTGCTGCCATTCTGAACCTTGGGTACTTCACAAAGTGCTGGAGGTACATGTTTGCTTTTCCTCTCAGCGTCTTCATCTTGGTGCATTGAATTATAAAGGGTGTACTTGAGCTAGTACATGCTACTTAAGAAGAGAACACTCTCTTACAAGTAGTTGATGGAAAAGCTCATTAAAATTCTATCTTTGTGGCACTTCTATTTTCCCTGTACTCTCTCTGGAACACTCTTAGAAAAGAATCATTAGGCTAGCAGTAAGTCAGAACGTCGGTAATGACTAGGGTATGGACTGCAGACAACCTGCCTCCCCATCCTCTTATTTCATCTTGGCTCAACTCATGACACTTATGCCCAACCCTGATGCCAAGTAGGAGGTACATGAAACACTCTTCCTTCAGCCTCTTGTGTCTGGGAAAAAAAGAGCTCCTCTTCACCCCTAAATCTTTCGTAAATTGTGGAATCACACAGGGAGCCTTTATCACAGACTTTAAATGGCTTTGAGTAGTCTCCCCACAACTTCCCAGATCAAGTCACCATCCACACGTCACTTGCAGACATCTTGTCAGGGGAGTCCCCCTACCTCACATAGAAGTGGGCTCCCTATTCAGAAAGGTTTAACTGTTACTGAGCAAGAAGGCAGGCAACATGAACAGTTGTCAGAGTCCTTAACAATGATCGGAGTCATGAACATCGTAGTAAAGGCTTTGAATTTCATTGCTCAGTAGGGAGAGCTGATGTGAGCAGAGGAATAATCTGGGCAGAGCTATACTTTTAAAAAGTGCGTTTGGAAGTCGTATGGAAGACAAGGTGTAGCAGATTGGAACAGATGCAGGGAAACCATATAAAAGACAACTGCAGAGCACCTAGTGAGGGATGCTGAAGCCCTCAGTGTAGTGGGCGAAGCCCTGAAGCCCTGGTTCTTAACTCTGACAGTTCATTGTGGTTACCTCAGTATCTGTGGATGCCTGGGACCCATGCCCTAGGATTCTGATGCGGTTAGAACAAGGTCATTTTTTTTTAATTTCTTAATTTGATTTTTAATTTGATTTTAATTTTTAATTTTGATTTTAATTTGATTTTTAATTTAATTTAATTTGATTACAGAGGGAATTCTGCTATCCTGACAGAATTCAGATCTGCTGTCATAGTAGCAATGCATGCTTATTGAGTCCTTAGGTTGTGCTGGACTCTTTACATATAGTTACTCATTAAATCCCCTATGAGATACATGCTGCTTTATGCCCAATCCACAGATGAGGAAAGTAAACACAAAGAAGTGAAGTCAGTGGCTCCAGATCCCATGAGTCAGTGGAAGAGCCAGTTCCCGAACCCAGGCCAGCTGATTCCAAAGCTTTGCTGAAAATAGGTTTTAAAAATAAACGAAAGGACTTGATATACTATTTTATGAAAATAACATGAAATTAGCCAGCTTTTCCCAAAAGATACAATGGTATTTTCTAATTTATAGTACTTGAAAGTCACACGTAGGATTTTAAAAGAAGGTGTATGCTTAAAATATTAAATTATGGGAAAAAATTATTTTTTTAAGCTTTTTTTTTCTCCGTCCTGAGCCAAC